GTTATGGTCAGTCTTGTGGCGACAGCTGTCTGCAGGCCAAAATTGTAGACAACAATTTACGTCAATGTTATAAAAACCCTAGACGCCCATCAACATGATTCTGATTTCTGTATAAAATACTCAGGGATGACTTACCTCCAAGGTGTAACTATTCATAATCCCCTCTCTCCACATCACAATTCGTCCAGTCCCTTCTTTTTCTTTTTGAACAGAGAATTTACACTTGTCGAAGTTAAACTAGAAATACATTTAATGCAAGAAAACAGAGAATCGGTTCTTAATAATTTTATGTAAAACGGATGTCCTCCTTTGAATATTATTATCATTACATATTTGTCAGTGGAACTCAGAATGGATGTCCCTCTCTGTTTGGAATCATCAGGCGGACATACCTTTCAATCCTTAGATCTCGTCACCAATCAACATCAATTAGAGATCACTGAAAACCAGTGAGCATTGAACATCTGTTTCGTCTTAGTTTGGGGCTCTTCATCAGTTGGCAACCAAAAACGATACCACTAGGCTACCAGCTACTAGGGCCAGAATCCAATAACCATTGATTTCTTACTTCGTCACTTCGTGATATATCTATCCCCTCAATCAATATCCCCGGTGAGAATCCATCTCATCTTGACACGGTAGACCCCACCGGTCATGACTTCTCACCATAGCCTCAAAATATCCAGCCAGTGTTCCATGATTTTCAATGATCCCAAAATAATTTTGATTCGCGACGAAATCTAGCCAGTGGAATTAGTCCTAATCCCCAAAAAATCTTATGACCTAAAGATCATAGATTTACCCTCATTATTGATGTTATCTCCAAAAGCACGATTGAAACCCGAAAATTCATTGTTATTTATTTATTTTTTTAGTATATTTTCACTCCTTTGCGTTCCTAGTGGAACATAGGGCTTCAAGCTACAGCTTTCAAGTTTCGGTAGCAGTGGTGTTTATTTTTACGGGATGGGGTCGCTTGCTCATGCCCAGCCTTCCCTCTTTACCAGTCAGATTACTGGCTTAGCGAGATAAAGGAGTGAGTTGGCCGGATATCGAACCCCGAACCACGCTCAGTACTCACCATATTATAACCATTAGGGCTATGCAATCCTGTTAAATCACCTGAAGAATTGCTAATTCGAGTTTATATTCTGATATGTTTCTAAAATATATATATTTCCAGGTGCATAAGACAGCTTTAGAAAATAAACAGAAGGCTAAATTAGGTTTCCTTGATTATTCACCTTTTTTTTCAAAAAGCTGTATTAATACTGTTTGACAGATGGTGGATATCACTCGAATTCCAGAAGCTTATTTTGTTCCCCTTAGCTCACGTCAGTTGAATGTAGTTGCAATGCAAATTAGTGACAGTATCTGGTACTCGAACTCAGCACCAAACATACATTTCAGTCCAACTTCTCGGCTAATTAAAACTCCACAATACGCAAATGCTAACACTCATTACACAAGAGATGACTTTTGTGTTTCAATGGTCTAGTGGGTGTCTGTTCAGTGTTTGAAACGATTGATACTACATCCAAGTCTCAATGGAATACAGATGAACCCAACTAACGAGTCACAAGTTGCAAGAAACTGGCTTATCCGACTCCATTGTTAATTGTTATCAATGAAATAACATCAAGTTAACCTTGAGGCACTACGGAAGCGTCTATGCTAAAAACGGATATGCCGATAGAGATCGAACATTATGATTGAGTGAAATCAACCAACAGGGAATTAAGAGTTCCAGTAAATTCTGTGCTAATAAATTTTAGGGCTGAAATCAAGTCAAGAAAGAGTTCATCATAAACTATCAGAGGATGTCGTGTTAAACTTCTCATCATTTCCTTTTTCAGCTTATAAATAGGAGTATGACGCTTATATCAATTATTTTAGACTTTTAATTCGATAGATAAAACTGTACAACTATATGAGTTTTAAGTCTACAGGAGGTCAATTGAGAGCCCAAATAGCTGGCTTAGTGATAACGTCTCTGACTGTAGCACTCAATGGATGACGCGGATTCGAATCTCAGAAGGGACATCAGTTCCTTCAAGGTTGCAGATACTCCTTACTGACTGACTGGTGAGTGCCAACTATTACGAAACTTAGGTGGAGTGGAGCTTCCTGCCGATTGTGTCCAACCATCTAATATCATCAAATCAATGTTCACCATGATGGCGAGCTACCTAGAATGGTGGCCACATTGCAAACGTGACTGATAGAATTCAGTCTGCTCTAAACAACGGACTAAACACATAACACTAGTCACTAGTGTCCAATTAAAGTCTACATATTCCTTTGTCATCAGTTGATGCATAAATCAGTAATTTCTTTTCACAACTATATTTCGGTTTTCATGACTAAAACTCAGGATTGTTAGTGATTATTAAAGACTCTGTTATTGAGTACCTTAGCCACCGAGTGGAACAGACAGGTTAAACAGCAAATCTCCACTTCACTCTGTTCTCTGAAGTACTCTTTAGTTGTCTCTACAACCGTATAAAAGCCTTTATCTCTTCCTCACACCATCTCCCATATCGCCACTCTACTGCTCACATCCAACTTATCGTTCCGTATTCGGGGTACACATGAGAGCCTGGAGTGCGATGTCACCCATGGGTCACCCCATTTTATATCCACTTTATTTCCATTTCTCCGTGTATATTTGTTGAGCATTAGATTCTTGATTAGTTCATTGACAGGGTCACGAGTTGATAGTCAATCTTCAATGCGGAGAGAAGGCAGGTGTTAACATAAAAGTGTGCAGTCTGTTTGAAATGTTTCCATGACGCTCCAAGCCTCTGAACCATATAGAAAATTTGAATTGACATTGGTCTTGAAAATAAGGATGTTTTTTCCTTACGCAGAGTTCCACATTGATTGCAGAATAATGAAGGTCTAGCTGGCTTTTCCCCTCTTGGTTTTAACACCCTAATCTGTGCCGTCCATAGCTGAAACAGTTCTGTCTAGATAAGTGAGACATGTGACTCTCTCTATTTCAGATTTTTCCCGTTGATAGTGATTTTTGCTTGTATTTGTTGTTGGCAAGGTGTATCTTGATTATTTCTGTCTTTTCTATGTTCATTTGAAATCCTATCTTCACCGCCTCTTCTACCAACTTGGTAACTTTTCGCCTGTAGACCTTCGAGTTTGTATGACATAAGACATAAATCAGCCGAGAAAACCAGATCCTCTGAAGTATTCTTGGCGTGTCATTCCACACAGTCTGTCACGTGATCGGGCCTACCACATCGATGATAGTAGTTGACCTTGTCTCACTCCTACCTACATTTCAAAGGCTTCATGGATGTTCACATTGTGAAACATTTGCCGAATGAATATCAAACTTACTACTCTGACAGTCTGAAAAAATTCATTTAGCATTTTCGCAGTTTCCTGGAATTCTAAACAATACAGACGATGTTATTAAGGTATGCTCTAATTCTATTCCTCCTATCAAGATGTCATTGGTCAAACACCATAAAGGATTCTCATTGAAAGAAAAGACAGGATGCTAAGAATCCAAAGTAACACTGACGTCGGATAGCAGCAATATAGAAAAATAGTCTCTCTGTTTCCAGATACTACTGAAATGCCTCCACCGAAAAATGATTGTACAAAAAACAAAGAAATCAGTCCTAGAACATCTTAATGGCTTAAATTTCTGTTCTAAGTATCCTACAGATCATATTACGTAATAATCACTTTGTGGTAAGTAGACTGACTAAATAAACCAACTATTTCAAAATCCAAGAGTTTGATTTGGAGCAGTATACCAAATTACGCATTTCAAACAACCAGCAGTACATACCATAATGCATTTGTGCATCAAACAAACAAAAGAATGCCAGTTAAACCTCTATCTCAAATTCATCGACTTCGAAAAGGCCTTCGACAGACGGCATTGACCGAGAAGTAATTCGGAAACTACTTCAACACTACGGCCTGCAGTGCCAAATTCTTTATCAACCTCATTCAAAAGCTGCCCATTTTACAATGCCACGTGTCAAATGATCCTCAACGGAAAACTCAGAGAGGCGTTTGAAGTGAATACAGGAGTAAATCAAGGATTTCTGTAGTGCACTGGACTAAGCGTCAGACTGTGCACAGGCAGTGAGAAGACAAGAATACATTGGCCCGATTAGAAGACTCTAGAAGATCTGAATTTCTCATACTGATCACTTATGTTTAATGTTACACAAAGTGGAAGACTTACAAGCAAAACCTACATGTTTTCAGAAGAAGCAGTGAAGACAGGACTCCAGGCAAACATATAGATCACAGAGGTGATGAAAAATAACCAACAAACAGCAATAGTGACAACAACCAGCACCAATCACAATCAAACGGAGATATTTGAAAGAGGTTATTCCCTTCATTTACCTAGGCAGCCAGCTTCGTTTCAACAACAGGCAGTCGGAACACGTGAAGATGTCAAAGCAGGTGAGAATCGCAATGGAAAGAAACGCATTCATCAACCTGAAACTAGTTTGGAAATCTTCTGCTCTACTCACTCAGCATGAAGAACATGATTCGGATTTCCAACACAAATGTAAAGTCAGTCAGTGAGTTGTTCTATACGAGTCAGAAACTATCACTACGTGCGAGTCACAAAAGGGATTTCCAACAGCTTGCTGCAAACTTTTCTGAACAGCTACCCTCTTCGCTGACTTCCTGATGAAGATCAAATGGCAAGCCAGCCAGCGACGAACAATTAGCAACAAGAAATTCTGGCTGGTAGCAAAATAACAAAGAGCCGATCGCTCAACAAATATGTAAGAGAAAGTAGAGATCGATCGGGTACACACTGAGGAGGCCGTCAAACGTCATTGCGCGCAATGCAGACCATCACTCGAGTGGAATCCCAATGGGAAGCGACGAGTGTGTGGTTGGTGTGAGGGTGAGGTGGAGGAGATTGTGTGTTAGGGAGAAGGGGATGGGAAATTATGGGCAATCGTGACCACAGCTGAAGAGGACAGCAGAAAGTAGAACAAAGTGGAGATGTATTGTTGAAGACCTATGTTCCACCAGGAACCCAAGGGAGTAAGAATAATTTATCCTTGCTTTCTTGATTGTCACTTATCGTATCATAAATTTGTATTCCAAATAATGGAAAATGAGGTGAAATTTCACCCTAAATTGTATTAAATTTCAATTTGAAATTTAGAAATCCACACAAGGGCATAACCAGGCAGAATTTGGGTGATTTCGACAGATTCTGACACATGAACTGAGTCAATTCGGGTACACCATTGATGCACTCAGCTCTAGACTATCGAAACGGACGTCCAGTGTCCAGAGATCACTGAAATCTGGTTGGTTAACATGTAATACTGGCTGGTGTGAGTACTATCCAACTACTCAAAAGGATCAATCAATCTATCAGTAGTATGTGATGTCATACAATCCACCGAAAACATAAAGATTAAATATTCACTCTCTAATAAAAAGAAAAAATAATTATTATTCAATCCGCCTGAACTGATCACTTTCTTTATAAATCTAAACTGCTTGCTTTCACTTACTAATTCAGGTATATTTTTGCCCAACATGGCCGGAAAAATGCGTGAACAATAACGTTGTTCAGGTGTTTCACCTTTACATCCATAAATAAACATTTGTTGTTGTCGACTATGTCCATGGAGATCACAGTAAACGACTACTTCATACTGTTTCATGATACTATGAAGAGAGGAAACAAAATATATGCAATGTAAATATATAAACTGAAGGAATTATTTTAGCTGAATTTCAGATTTTCCCGTCAAATGATTGGACTAAAGTGCTCGGTCTCAGGTTGGCATGTCAGCTTCTCGCGCAGAGGCTTCGACAATGTCTGGGCATTAAATTAGAATTTAACTGGTGGATGGTGACTAGCAGTGGAATCCAGGATGCGCGCTTCGTCCCATTTGGGACTCGTCAGATGGATGTACCCAGTGCCCGTTGCACAAGAAGTGGCTCTCGTGGCCCATGTGGTCTAGTGGATAATGCTTAGGCGTTTGAAACTATGGACACTGGGTTCGAGCCTCGGTGGGACCATCATCATTCACTGGGAAATGCAGGTACATCCAGTTGACGAGTCCCAAATGGGACAAAGTGTGCATCCTGGATTCCACCGCTAGTCACCATCCACCAATTAAATTCTAATTAAATGAGGGAATTATATTTAGAGAAAATCGGGTAATCTGAGCGAAAACATCAAAATACACAAAAACTAAAGCTTCAGAATGGATATGAATCTATCTGAATCAGTCAGTAAGACGGTTTTTTGCTGAAAAACTTAAGATGACCTTCATCAGTTGGAATTCATTCTCTGTCTGTGTAAAATATTAGCTTCCTCATCTGGCGGCATTCATGTGCATCTAACAGTTGACCTGCTCTTGTGGAGTAAGTTACATTGACTGTGGCTAGAGAAAGCTTTCCAGGTAGATACCAGAACATATGTCAACATGGTTTTACAAGCGAGAAAGCAAGTGTGCGAAGCTCCTGTCACTCTACAGAGTCTGACCATGATTTTAAGCTCATCTATCAAAACTTTAGTGTAACAAAAATTAGACTGGAAAAACGTTTACCTCAGAGCTTCAAATTAAGATCTCTGTTGTCAAGTAGGCTCGTAGTGCTGACTCTGTGACAGTATCGTGGAAAAAGCATGATGCTATCTGGTTGAAATTGACTAGCTTTAGAATTTAGGGTACGCATTCCGACCTATTTGAGATTTGTCAGTTATCTACAGGTACATTAAGGTGGCCAATCGCAGATGGGATGAAATGCGCATCTTTTCTTCCAATGTAGGTGCCCACCAGACAGGAAACGTCTGTGACATTACTCATGATCGACATATTTCGAAAATTCTAATATGACTAAAACACTTTTACCTGTAAGCTAAGATGCTTCATAATCCATGACAAGGAAAGAACATGTTAACTCCACTTGCGTATTTGTGTCAGCAGTTAAATTGTGAGAGCTGGAAGAAGGGTACAACTTTGATTCTGTGAACATGTGTCGAAAGGCTCAAGTTTTAAGTGGACAAAGGGTTTCAGCAGTTCTATTACAAGTCAGCTCGTTGGTACGGGTCAATAGGTGAACATCCTGAAATCCTTTAAGATTATTAACAAACAATATGATTGTAATCTCTTCCATTTTTTTGCTGATCAGTTACAATTAAACCCAACTTTCTGTGTTCAGAAAGAAGCAGTAGCCAGGCTGTCCTTGCCATAGTAACTTCATCTGTTAACTCATCCTTATCTACAGTTAGGTTTTTAAGGATTAGATTTGTTTTCGAGAGCTGATCACGGATTGATATCAGTTAGAGAAACATTGAAAACCACCGAGGACTGGACAGCTGCTTCATCCTAGTTTGAGAATCACCGGCACTGCGCACTCACCACTAGGTCTCGAACCAGGGACGGCTGTCTGGCAGTACTCCGTGGTTTCCGATGGTTTTCTAACTGACATCAATCCGTGATCAACTCGTAAAAAACTCATCCTTTTATCTGACTACATAATCTCTTACTTTATCCACTTCACTTTGAAGTTATTATAGATGTGTTTTGTGTCTCCGTTTCTATTATGAGTTAAACTCACTGACTGATTATGCATCATTAAGTTATTCGCCTCTTCTCTTTATTGCTCAAGTATTTTGTCAATATATCAAAATACCGTTTTTGTTCAAACTTGGATTTACCATATGCATATATGTTACATAAGTGTAACTTCTGAGCACTATTTATTAATTTTGAAGTCTCTTGTTGAATGAAATCATGTCACCTTTGCCAGTACATTAAGATATATCTCCGTATAGATACGGAATACACCAGTGGTTTAATCACACAGTGCTCACCATCCAATCATATGATCCGCGTTCAATTCTCAGCCGACGCACTCCTACACCTTACCTAGGCAATAGCAAGCCTAAACGAGAGGGAATGCTGGGCATGAAGCCAGTAATCTCACTCCATAAAAAATAGCATAGTCGTTACTCAAACTTCTAATATTGAAGTTCTATGCCCCATTCCAAAACTCATGGAATGGAAAAAAGGAACCACATATACTAAATAAATAAGAGTAATTTTTAAAACCAACCGTTAGCCCTGCTTTATTCAAAAGTGAATTATGCATGCAGATGAATAACACTCACTCAATAATCATATGTTTAGTATGCCAAATAGTTGGAAAGAATTTCTTCAAATTCGATGTATACTTTCGATTTAAATCACAACCTGATAAAGAGCAACGATAATTGCCAACAATTACTCCATCAGGATTTAACATTGGCACTAATTTGAATACAAAATTAGATCGTAATATCTGTAAGAGAATTTAAAGAGGTGCAAAATGTAAAACGAAATAAATTAAAGTGTCATCACATCTGGAATTCGCCGATGAAAAGCAACAAGTTGGCAGAAGAAGCATCCAGGGAAGATAGGATATCGGTTAAACATAGTGAAAAAAGAGGTAGGTGATGAAGATTCCTGGTCAGCAGCAAGAGCAACAACAACGACAGACAACAATCATCAGTGAAGCTTCATAACTTTATCGACTGAATTATCTTTCTCACTTTATACTCAACACCTAAACTCATTATTATACGTTAGTGAGTTAATGATTAATTGAAAGTCTGCAGTCTATTTGTATACGTTTTATTTTCTGTGGCCATAACTCACAACCAAAATGCATGTTAGAACAACATGCAACCGTTCTGATGAGTAACAATCTACTTCTCTGGTTCTAAAGGTATCGCACATGACGTTTCCTATAGCCATATTTGTAGCCTGGTCACTGGACATTAGGTGGATGGTTGAATAAGTGAAGCGGTTAACGTAATCGACCACTTCACTTGAGATCATCATATATTGTCGTCTCCTCAGGTGGTTCAAGAGACTCTTTATTTCTCCGGTGTTTCCACTCCAAAAGATTAGTTCTAGCTAACCAGCTACTTTTTTATTAACAAGTTGATTGCTGAGACGTGAAGTGTAAATACAGCCGCCTTTCTTTGTATCCTTAAAATAAAAACTATGGTTTCATAAAGTTACTAAATAATAAGCGAATTATATCAAAAATTACACATGGGATAACATACCTTTGCATCTGGATCTTCGCTTATTAGAAATTCAATTAAACCTTTCATCATCCAACTTCCTTGTGTTTCACCAGGATGTACACGTGCTGTAATAACAACACAACGTTTCTTATTCACTGACTGATCGTTTGTGGATTGTGATTGAACTGTCGATTCTGACTGTAATAAAGATAAATGATTTAGATACATTCAGTCACACGGGTCTTTTAGATTCGATGCCAAATCCGACTCACACCGAACCTCAACCTAGCAGGTAGTAAGTCTGTAGAAGAGGGAAGTTTGGTCATGAGGCTAGCAACTCTACACCGTATTAAAACAGCACCGTCGCCACTGAAACTGCAAAGCTCAAGCTTGAAACCACATATTCCACCCGAAACGCAAGTAATAAAAAAAAGACTCTCATACACCTGGACTTCATGTGATACCTGGGGCCACTGGACTTCCTTTTTTCCACTTGCAGAAGGTCTTTTCAATCTCGAGTATGCAGACGATATCGTCTTACTGTGCAACAGCATGCAGGCTGCCTGAATCGCACTTAATCAGTTGGAGATCAGTGTCTGTAAGTATAGCATGTGCTTTGCGCCATCTAAGTGCAAGGTAGTGTTACAAGATTGACAGGAGCCTGTACCTGCATTTACTCTTGCAGGTGAACCTCTTGAATTTATTGATAAGTTCGTGTATATGTGTAGTTTTTTGAGAGCTGGTAGAAGTATGACGGACGAGATTTCCAGCCATATTATGAAATTTCATGCAACCGGTTCCCTTTATTAGTTTGAAGAGAGAAAGAATGAACATGTTTTCAGGATAATACGAGCTCGTTTTATTTCGTGGATTCTCATCAACTGCATACATCCTAAACAAAATCAAATTATAGGTTTCAAGAAAGTTGTGGAACATACTTTTTCATAAATACTTTGAGTTATAGATAGAAGGCATAAGGAACATAATTCCAGAATTCGATGTAGGTAGACAGGTTATTCGGTGTCAAAAAACAACTAATTATATATAGTGGAATTAGATAAGAGGGGTAAGAGTTCAGATTTCTATTGCAAAACAACACAGATTGGTTAGAGGCATATTACAGGGTCAGGGTCAGAGAACAAAGTAAATTTACACATCTTGTGGTGGAGAGTTTAAGAGGGTGGGGGTGAATATTGAAGTAACATGTTTGTCTTGTTACGTAACATTCTATTCAATTTTGACCTTCAAGTTTCTAAATCTACTTAATTGTTTGTCTGTTTAAGTTATAAATGTTACTTCAATATTCACCCCCACCCTCTTAAACTCTCCACCACAAGATGTGTAAATTTACTTTGTTCTCTGACCCTGACCCTGTAATATGCCTCTAACCAATCTGTGTTGTTTTGCAATAGAAATCTGAACTCTTACCCCTCTTATCTAATTCCACTATATATAATTAGTTGTTTTTTGGAATAATGTTCCTTATGCCTTCTATCTATAACTCAAAGTATTTATGAAAAAGTATGTTCCACAACTTTCTTGAAACCTATAATTTGATTTTGTTTAGGATGTATGCAGTTGATGAGAATCCACGAAATAAAACGAGCTCGTATTATCCTGAAAACATGTTCATTCTTTCTCTCTTCATATCATGAAAGCCAGGGTGGTAGACGTCAACTTGAGCCAACTCTGGAGCCGTCACGACGTGCGGCGACTCTGAGTATTCGATCACCTCTGTCCGTGTAGAACTGCTTTCGTTCAATTCCATCATCGTGTGAGTAATTCAAAGGTCCAGCGGCATGTGTTTGTAAGCAGTAGATATCACCATTCAGTAAGTGTCGTCATCTAGTGGGAACACCGGCTTCGGTGGCTTCCGTAAAGGGCTGTTTTCACTAGCCTTGAGACGGGATGAGAAAAGTGGAAAGGTAGCCAGCCCATGATGTAGAGTCGTGGGATGAAAGATATTTGTGGCAGGTTGGCATCAGTTGATGTGTCCAGACACCGTGGTCGGGGTACGAGAAATAACTTGAATCGCAATCAGTGGCGAATCTGCTGCAATTTCCTCTCTTCTTCCCTTTCTGACAGTAATATGACTAATGCTGTCTGGTCTTGTTAAATATAACTGCTTTCTTTCCAGATGAAGTCCGCTATTAATTCTCTACCTATTTTTTTTTATTTTTTCACTTGTTGCTTTGTTGTTATTGTGTGCAGCATATTCTCAGTGCCTTATTGTACAAGGTTTTGTGCCTTAATTAAATAAATTTTTCACACCGTGTTCATCATTTCACTTCTTAGTGTTTGTGTTGATATATCACAACCGTCGATATTAAGTGGAGGATTCCTCCTCCAAAAATACTAAAATTTTTTCTCACTACCCCTCACAGAAGAAGACTTCTTGCTTAATTTATTCTTTTATGATGTAAAGGTAAGACTGTAAGTTATGTCCAGTAAACATAAAATGTCCACAGTAAGTAGAAACGTTTCTCATATTAATATTGTGAATTCTGCTTGACGTACGATTTAGTTTTGTTTTGATGTACATATTATCTCAGTGAGTTATGGTGCTTCCAATGAAACTTTGAAAAAAGCCTTCGACAGACAGAGTTGACAGCGAAGTAATTTGGAAACTACTTCAATACTACGGCGTGCAGTGCCCCCCAATCTTTATTAACCTCATTCAACAGCTGGCCAGATGACAATGATACGAATCTAGTGATCCACAACGGAAAACCTAGAAAGGCGTTTGAAGTGGATAAGCAGCAAGGAAGGCTGCCTACTATCATTGATGATACTCTTAATAAGAGTGGACCGGATTATGCAGAAGACTATGAGAAGCGAGAAGAGATGAATACGTCGGACCGATAAGAAGACTCTAGAAGAACTGGATGATTTACATCTAATGTCACACAAACCCGAAGACTTACAGGCGAAAACCTAAATGTTGTCAGAAGAAGCAAAGAAGACAGGATTTTAAGTGAACATGGAGAAGACAGTGATGAAAACCAACCAACAACAACAAGCACTTATGACCATCAACGGTAGAAATTTGAAAGAGGTCCTTTCCTTCACTTATCTAGGAAGCATCGTTTCAACTGCAGGCACTAGGAACGGATGAAGATGTCAAAGCCAATCAGCCAGCATTGGAAAGTCAAGATACACCTTCATCAACATGAAACCAGTTTGGAAATCTTCTGCTGTCACTAACTCAGCCAGCATAAAGGACAAGATTCGGATTTTCAACACAAATGTGTAGTCAGCCAGTCAGTTAATGTTTCTATACGGGTTAGAAACTTGCACTGCATGTGAGTCACAAAAAGGATTTCCAACAAGTCAACTCGAACTTTTATCAACAGCTGCCACCTTCTGTGGTTCCATGCTGAAGACCAAATGACCGGCCAGCCAACCAGAGAAAATCAGCAACAAGAAACTCTGGCAGGCAGCGAAATAACCAAGAGCCGATCGCTCAACAAATATGTAAAAGAAAATGGAGATGGATTGATAGGGCATACACCACTTTTTTCTGATAAAAATTATGTTACTTGAAGTAGTATTATCTAATTCATGAAAAAAATATCTGGTTTCTGTTTTCACCAACCATTCTTCTTCTTATGCTTTGTGCCGCTTTGTGTACTGTTCCCTCCTTATCAGTTCTCATTTTTCAAAGATATCATATAAAGTGAAAGCATCGCACCTTAATCTCATCTTCATCAGCTGAGCTATCCAGTCAATCACCAAAACTAAGCACTCACTATTCCGTACGGACTTAAAAACTGTCAACCATCGATTATTGGCCTAATTCAGTTCTCAAGCCAAGGAGAAACAAAGCTTAGGCTCAGAAGACTACATGGCGACTATGTGACTTTTCGAGAGTGTACTATTTAAGAGTAAGTAACAGAAGTGCAGCACCTAAAACTGCCATTCTCTATGCACTACAGAAGTTAGAGAAATGGAAGATAAAGGGGATTGGAAACAACTATAAACAGCAGAAATGAACGGGAGAAAGAATAGTGTCGTGGAAGAACATGTGTGTTTGGTAGATCTAGGCAATTACACAGAATGAATGCAGCTGCACCATTCATAACGACTTTGGGCCACATCACCGATAGATAGTCTCCAGTCATTGCTTCTTATCAGCCCGATGACTCCAACCAGTCAGTCTACACCTCTCCACGTGATTACCTCAAACCAACAGTCAAAGACTTCAGGTAGTGATCCGAAGTTTTGGTCTACTATGTCAGCTAACAACATCGCTCGTCAAGGAAGGTGGTGACTTGGCATATTATGCAACACGTCTCCTAGCTTCACAACCAGAATGTCAATAAATCTAACAGAAAGATAACTTACTTTATTACCGGTGTATTGTTCATTATTATTACATGGTTCTGTAATAGTTAATAGAGGAACAGGATTATTAGCAAGTGTATAACACAATGTTGTCTGTTGACATATTCTTCTTATCTTTGAATTCATTGCTAATTCATTTAAATACTCTTGTAATTGTGTATACGTGTAAGGATAACATGCAGCAAAGTAGACAATATCATTTGGATAAGGAAAATTAAATTTCCAAGTTAATGAATATGCAGAGCGTTTAGAATTTGATAAAAATTTTCGCATTGATGATAAACCATTTTCTGTAAGTTCAGTAAATCTATTAATGTAAAAAAGAGAAATGTAGCGCACATTTCAAAATGAATTAGTTATAAAAATTGTAAATTATTTAAAATAAATTTTTAGAAATGATGAAGAAGATGTGTGTAATTGTGGTCTACCTCCTCTCTCTCCTTCTATGAGCTGGAGGTTTCATTCTCTCCTTCTGAACACCGTTTTCATCTGTCACTTCGATATGAACTGGTTGGGAATTCTGAAAGCTCAACTCATTTTGAGATCAGTACTGATGACGTTGTATAGAACGGAAGCGAAGTGTTTGTGTTTAAATCATTTTAGCAGAAAGAAGACAAATGCACCATTAATTACAATTGTGAAAAATAAAAGGACGGTTGTATAGAAGAAAAATTTTTCTTTATGACAATATCATCAACTGTAATTCCGTATTAGGTAATTCTATTCGATATAACACCCAATGATACAGCCAACAAGATTATTATTATATTTATTGTTGTTTTCTTTAGTTCCTAGAGGGACATAGGGCTTCAGCCAAACGTCTACATTCCGTTTGGTTCTCCACCAACGTTTTCACCTGGTTCCACGCCTGCTCAAATGCCTTCATCTCCTCTTCACATGACCTCCATGTCACCATTGGACGATTAACTCGCCTCTCCTCGTTCAGGTTCCACTTGAGAGGTGGCCTGGCGTGTGATGTCACTCACTTGATGGTTTTCTCAGAGTATGGCAATCCACTTCCATTCCTTCCTGCTTATTTGTTGCACAGTTAGTTCCTGGTTGGTTGGTTCGCTCCCAGAGATCCCTCTTGCTGACCTTTTCTGACCTATCATCTGTTCTTCAGTATTGATGGCTGTTCATGAAGGTCTGTAGTTTGTTTGAAGTGGCCTTCGTGACGCGGCGCCAAGTCTCTGGTTGGTACCGGTTGTTGTTGCTGTTGACGTTCGTTGATTATTTTCATCTCTTCTCTATGTTTACATGGAGTCGTGTCTTCACCGCTTCTTCAGCTAGTTTCTTGGTTTTCGCCTGTAAGTCTTCCAGTTTGTGTGACATTAAGCATAAATCCACGTTCCCATTTTTATTCTTGCTTTCATCGAGAGAAAACCTACAGCTTAGTTCATATAAAGTAGGAACTAAAACTTCCCCATTCTTTTAAATAATATGAAGATTAAAACCAATAAACATTGAACATTGAAATACAAAATTTAACGAATGAGCAAAAATGGAACAAAAAAAGTTGTTTACTTCGTCTGATAATAACTAATATCACTGCCAACACGTCTCCAACCGATACCAGTTAGCCTGGCCATTTTTTCACTGTACATTAAAGGTTTCATACCTTGACCAAATAAACTAGTAGACTATAAAATGGGGGTAAAGAGAAAAATAAAAGACAATAACTTTTCATTTGACTACATATTCTCTTGTGAATATTACCGAAAACAAAACCTTTTATGACACTGTAGGTCTCTTCCAACAGCGCTGAAGTAAACTTGTGGCTAAAGTAAATAGATCGAAGTAAATTAACTTAATATAGATAGAATAAACAAACGTCTAGGTCACCTGAGGATGCTTTAAGTCGTTTAAGGTTTGTTTTTAGGAGTAGGCATCCGACTGGACTTGGACGCCATCTCATGCTTGTGAACTGTGGAGGCGACACTCACCACCTCAGAGTCTGTAGTTCAGTTATGCTAGCCAGATAAACTCGCTTAAATCTTTTCCCGAAATAATCTTAACACTTTGTTCTATTTAAGTATATTGCTCGTCAGAGAAGCTTTCTAAATAACTGAGGTTTTCAAAAGAATGGTTACTGCACAAAAAATACTCTTTTCGATAACTTCTTCATCAGACTCTACAGTCAGATATACATTATAGTGAATGAATTAGTATTATTTACAACATTAATGTTGCTTAAATAACATCAAATCAATAATAATAAAAATATCAGTGGATTACAGTTCAATAGCATCAACATAACAATACGCTGAATATTGGAAAAATTAGGAAAGATTATATTACAAATTCATGAATTTATAGTCTCTACTGAAGGCTGGCCAGGGCAGCAGTAGTGGCTGGACTTGCTTCTTTTGAACACAGAACACTGGTTGTTTCACGCGAATTGTGATAGCCTCTGCTATTTGGATCATTGGGTGCTTCGATGATTTTGGAAACTTATTTGGCACCCTGTAAACGATAGGGAAGGATTTTTCAATGCTGACTTTGTGGCCGGTTTGGATCAGATGGTCTAATATCGAACTGTTGACGGTTTTTACTACACTTTTACTTAGCCATACTGGGAGATGTTCTCGAGCACGAAAAATCAAGTTCCTAAATCAATGGCCGATATAACTCGCTCCACCATAAGAGCAGTTGAATTGGTAGATACAATTTGAAGTGGCTAGCTAGTCTAGGTACTTCATCTTTCAGTCGAGTATTCACCATCGGTCGTGTAGATAATAAGACGTGTATTTTGTCGGCATTAAAAGTTCTTTGAACTGATTTTCTTAATTTCTTCTTAATTATTTTGCTTGGTATACCGCCCATGAATTGCAGTCGTATATACATAAAGACTTCTTGTTTATGGATAGCGAATAGTCCTTTTCAGCTTTCTTTGTCATGTGTTTCTTGATAAATTTGTCGGGATAGCTATTTTCAATCAAGGTATCATATACAATGCTTAATTCATCTTCAATTACTTCTTCTGAGCATATAGCTCTAACTCTGTGGCTGAGGGTCTTTACTAAATTTCTTTTGTACTGGAGAGGAACGAAGCTGTGAAAATGTGTATATTGTCCTGTCCAAGTACTTTTTCTATGCAAATTTCTTTTTATGCTACCATCTGGTTTTCTTGTAAGGAGGACATTGAGGTAGGAAATTCTGTTTTGGTATTCCTCTACGCACGTGAATTTCATAGCAGAATGTAGTTCATTGAATTCAGTAATTATTGTACTTCTATCCGAATCATCTTCACAAAGAACGAAGGTGTAATTCATATACCAGCAATCAAATGAGAAATTTCTGATAAGCTTGTTCAAAGGTTCATTTTTTCTAGTTTACTTAGAAAGGAATCTGCCGAAATGGGACCCAATGTTGAACCCATCACCATCCTGTCGACTTGTCTGTAAATTGTGACGTCAAATTTGAAATTTACAATCATGGTACACCTTAATAACAATTCTCTTAGGATTTCAGTACGGATGCCAATATTTATCGACTGGTTATACACACTTCTTCACATAAGTAGTCAACTGTTTCTACTAGAGGTACAATTGTGAATAAAGATGTTATGTGCAAAGATGTCATGGTATTATCCTTGATATTAGTATCTTTGATTTTGTCTACGAATTCAGTTTATTGTTATGTTGATGCTATCGAACTGTAATCCACCAATATTATTATTGATTCGATGTTATTTAAACATTAATGTTGTTCATAACACTAATTCATTCACTATAACCGTAGAGCCTGAAGATGAAATTATCGGGAAGAGTATTCTTTGTTCAGTAACCATACTTTTGAAAATTTTAATGGGCATTTTGTAATCAGTTAACTTAGGTTTTTTCATTCATGATTTTGTAATCAATGTTTGTGGGTCAGGTACCGCGTACTGATTAAATGGATAATTAGGCACGTTAATTTAAGTAAGGCTAATTTAGTGTCATCTATGTTAGATGGTTGAATGCAATCATCAGGAAGCCATGGACCTAGATTTCCTGCTTGTAGGTACTTGTCAGAAGGGCTTATCTGTAATCTTGAAGGAACTCGTGTCTGTTATGAGACTCGAATCCGAACTAACCAGTGTTTCAGTCGGAGATGTTAGCTTTCGACTGCTGACAATCTACACAATACCATAATATATAAATTATGAAAAAGATTTACACTGCACATATACCGAAAGGACAGAGAGAAGGATTGTTGTTCGCATTTGTGGACACATATCAAAGGAACTGAGACGAATGAGTTCACAGGTAATAAACAGCACAACTGCAGGGTATATGCTTGAAACTTGATGAAAATAGTGTTAGGCATGAACTAACTAACTAACCTTCTTTGCACTACTAAATAAACCATTTCCTCCACCCTCACAACATCAACCTTTATTGTTATTGTACTTCTTATATTTATAATCCTCGCAATTTTTTGTTTTTATTTGTTTATTTTCTCATGAGTGTGAACATCATTTAAGCTGTGTTATAACTGTTAATTTTGTATTTCCCCTCAGCATCCTGCTATATCAACAGAACATTACATTCAATAATCTATAACATGCTAAAATTTCCAAACTGAATCGACAATACTGTTTGAAACAAACTCACTGTTGGTATTATTATTATATTTAATATTTTCAATTCGTACTTCGAATATTTCTGACTTTATATCGTAAATGTGGACAAATTCCTCTGGTTAATTTTATTTATATTTTTTAAATTTTGTTTATATTTTGAGTAAATCAGATGCAGTTTTGTGACAAATGCTGAGAATTCCATTCTGTATTATAAGTACTGTTTTTGGAATAAAGCAGATTATTATTATTATTATAAGGTGAACAGTTAAAGCAACCTCCATCAAACGATTAAAATGTAATCTATGCAGGTAGACGACAAAACCACTTCACTTTGCACTACCATGAAAATTAACTCGTACATTCTTATTACTTGGAGGATCTGGACTTCGCCGATGATGACATATGTCTGATTTCCTACAAAGTGTAAGATATGCAAGTGAAAAGCAACAAGTTGGTAGGAGAAGCATCCAGAGAAGATAGGACTTCAGGTGAACATAGAGAAAACAGAGGTAGGTGATGAAGATTCCTCGCCAACAACAACAGCAATAACAACAGGCAACAATCAGCATAAATGGGAGGAATCTGAAAGAAGCGATCTCCTTTACCTACCTAACTGCCTGGGAAGCATCGTTTCAACTACAGGCGGACGGAACTGATGAGGATATCAAAGCAAGGATTGGGAAAGCAAGTCAAGCTTTCATTACTCTCAAGTCTATATGGAGGTCAACAGCACTCAGCGTCAAAAATAAGATCCGGATTTTCAACTCCAATGTGAAGTCAGTGCTACTATATGGATCAGAGACTTGCACTGCGCATCATAAAGAGCATCTCAAACAAACTACAGACCTTCATTAACAGTTGCCTTCGCTCAATACTCAAGATCAGATGGTCAAAAAAGATCAGCAACAGCGATCTCTGGGAGCAAACCAACCAGGAACCGATTGTGAAACAAATATGCAGGAGGAAATGGCGGTGGATTCGTTATACTCTGGGAGAACCATCATGTGACCTCACAAGACAGGCTATCGAGTGGAACGCGAACGGGAAGAGGGTTAATCCGAGGGTGACATGGAAGAGGTCATGTGAAGAGGAGATGAAAGCATGTGGGCAGACTTGGAGCCAGGTGAAAACTCTAGCAAAAACCGAACACAATGGAGACGCTTGGCTGAAGCCCTATGTTCCTTTAGGAATTAAAAAAAATAAGAAGAAGAAGAAAATCTGGTAGTAAGCGGCAAACTGGTGAACCTATTAATGATATCATACGTCAGAAGGTTGAGTCGAATCCGAATGGAAAGTGACGATTTAAGCTGTGAATATTGACAAAGATGAAATCGTGTGGAGTGGAAATTTGAAAGTTAGTGAGTGATTTGTGAAGTCAGCTGGAAGTGATGGCTAAGTACAGATTTGGGTGGAGACGTGCAGTTGAGTCTCTGTGTCTTACTTGGAGAGAAAGTAATGATCCGATAAGTGAGTAATAATAATAATAACAGTAACAAAAATACCTTTACCTTATAGAAATTTACAATTGTAAATCTGTAACTATCAGTATTCTGTGCATTTTGTACACTGAAGTAAAACCATTGTGTATACTTTTTTGTATATAAATCTGGCCTCAGATGTAGTTCATATTCACAGGGACCACTGGAAAATAAAATTTTAAAAAAAGAATGCAAAAGAATATAAACGAAAAATGTGGAAATATGAATATTTCATTTTGTCAGAAATAATATTTTTTTTATCAGCTCTGAACCAACTTGTGATCGACCAGGCATCATCACCTTTTCATTTAATCTTTTAGTATTAAACAAAGTTTATTACATATTTTGTAAGTCTTAAATCAAATCTAGTCGACTGTTGTTATAGATATATAAATAGTAAACGGAAACTAACTAGCTTATTGACCAAGAAACACAGGGAAGCCCTAGATATGCTGCGAAATAATGAGAATATAATAATTTTGAAACCTGATAAAGGCTCTGGAGTAGTAATAATGAATAAGACTGAATACATAGATAAGATGAATAGAATACTTAGTGATCATCGAAAATTTCAGAAAATTACATCTTCCGTCGATCCGACAGAAAAAGTGGAGAAACAACTAATTGAGTCACTAAAAAGACTTAAACAACAAAGTATATGAATCTTTAAAGCCTAATGGCACGGTTACACCAAGATTATATGGACTACCAAAATTGCATAAAATCGGTTTGCCGCTTCGACCAGTGTTGGACATGTGTAATTCCCCATATCACGCAACAGCAAAATGGCTAGTGAAGCTCCTAAAGCCTCTGCATAATGAATCGGTAAAACATAGCGTAAACGGCAGTTTTGAGTTTGTTGAAAAAATAAGAGATCTTAATGTGAGGGACAAGTTTATGATATCTTTTGATGTATCCTCCTTGTTCACCAATGTACCGTTAATGGAGACAGTGGATTTTATATGTGAGGAGATTACTACACGAAACATAGACATCGAGATTTCTGTATCCACCTTGAAGGAACTTATTTTAAGATGTACAATGAATGTTCATTTCTTACTCAATAAGGAATATTACAGACAAATTCATGGTATAGCTATGGGTTCCCCATTAGGTCCATTTTGAGTTTTGTACCTTGGAAATATAAACGTAACCTGGTAAAGTGTCTGGTTCATAGAGCTAAGTTAATCTGTTCACACGACTGCCTCAATGAGGAGCTTAAGATTATTGAAGAATTGCTTAGAAAAAATGGTTATCCAGATAAATTTATTGAGAAGAATATGAATTCAGCACCAAGGAGAGCCAGTATTGCTACAGTTTCGAAAAAACCAATGTTCATAAAATTGCAGTTCCTCGGTGACAACATCAGAGAAATAATAACACAGCGCCTGAAGAATGCAGATTAAAGAGCTTATTATGCAGCAGAGGTACGTTGTCTCTTCACAACCACCCCTATTCTATGTTCGAGAAATAAGGATAAACTACCTAAATTTGCCTCTTCTATGTGTATCTACTATTTTATAGGTGTTGGCTTACAAGGATTTGATCAGTTACAAATCAGTGACTGGCATTAATTAGAGAACTGCTGGAGAACAAGAGAGCACTGGGGAGCTATTTCGTACTAGTCTAGGATTCTTCAGCTGTATGCAAATGTCACCTCAGAGAGAATCCAATCTGGAATCCTCAGTTTACGAAGCAAGTGCATTTACCATTCGGCGACCAAGATGTAATCCAGTAGTCCGTGAATTGCAGCTTCTATCAATCTACGATATATAGTGATACTGGCAGCTAATGTCAGCGACTAGTATTTGCCTACACATTCAACTTGATAGATGCTAATGGTTACAAATTCGCATTAGTCATTTACAGGTGCTTTTGAACTGAAATCGATAGCTTTTATTGATTTGGAATTAACTAATGAACAGTAGTATTATTAATAATAGCAACAATTCTTTGATTATTATAGATACATAACTGTAGGACCTAATGAACAGGAAGGCATCGAAAAGAATATTCTCAGTTCACCAATAAAAAGATACTTTTCAAGAGTTAGATTGTTGGGATTTCATCATTTATTCCAAGACTAATCATGGAATGATGTTAGCAAGAGAATCATTGAAAACCATGGGGTATTGTATGTGTGTTTCGTCCTAGTTTGGAGTACTTCAGCAGCGCGCACCAGCAACCCCACCGTGGAGCGAACCTACAACCTACAGGTCGCAAGGCCAAGCTGGTTAACCATTCTTCCACCTGGACCAGGATCAAATAACCCATTAATTTTGACTTCTGTCATTTCATGATTCTAGCGTGACCACTCAGTAGTAGCCTTGTAACCAGAATGTCCTTGGTTCAAACCCTGATAGGGTTGCCAGTGCTTACCACTGAGGAATCACAAGCTAGGACAAAACACCTGTTCAGTATACCATGGTTTACACTGGTTCTATATATAACTCCAAATTGTGGTGGACTGGATTATGCGTCAGACAGTGGGAAACGAGAAGACACGGATATCCTGGACCGACGTGAAGAACCCAGAAGACGTGGATTTCGAGCGTGGATGATTTATGTTTGATGTCACACAAAATCGAAGACTTACAAGCGAAAACCGACAAACTGGCTGAAGAAGCAGCAAAGACAGCACTCCAGGTGAACATAGACAAGACGGAGGTTATGAAAATAACCAACCAACCAACCAACAACAACAGCAACATCCAGCGCCAATCATCATCAACAGGAGGGATTTGAAAGAGGTTACTTCATTCACTTCACTTATCTAGGGAGCATTGTCTCAACTACAGGAGGAACGGACGAGGATGTCAAATCGAGAATCGGGAAGGCAGGCGAGAAACACATTCATCATCAACCTGAAACCAATCTGGAAATCTTCGTCACTCAGCCTGCATCAACAACAAAATTCGGATTTTCAAAACGCAAACGTCAAGTCAGTTCTTCTATACGGATCAGAAACTTGGCTGGTCACAAAGAATGAATATTTCCAACAGCCTGTTGCAGACCTTTATCAACAGCTGTCTTCGTTCTATACTGAAGATCAGATGGCCAGAAACAATCACCAACAAGAAACTATGGGAACAAACAAAACAAGAACCAATCGCTCAACAAATATGCAGGAGAAAGTGGAAATGGATTGGACAATCGCTGAGCTGAGAAGGCCGCTGGGTGACATCGCGCGTCAGGCCAGTGCTCGAATGGAACCCGAAAGGGAAGTGGCGAGTGGGACGTGCAAGTGTGACATGGAGGAGGTCGTGTGAAGAGGAGTTGAAACAGTATGGATTAACATGGATGTAGGTGAAAAGTACACCAGAAGACAGAAGCAAGTGGAGACGTGTATTTGAAGCCCTATGTTCCACTAGGAACCCAAGGGAACAATAAATAAATAATTAATATATATCTAACACAACCTGTGATCAAAAAATTGAAATGACACAATCAAATTGAATTATCATCGTACAGAATCACATGATAGATAACTGTGGGAACACAATCAAAATGCCACCAGTCTTTATGTCAAGTCATTAAAGCTTATCTCGCGCATAAAACAATGAAATTAATTTAACATTTGATATTTTTTGGAAATCAAAACACACACTTTTATTGTTCATAATTTACATACAATGATTGTAATTTATTCACAACAATATAGAAAAATAATGTAGAAATTATAAGAGAGAGTAGGATAAGAAATGTAAATGCGTATGTAGTACACATAATACAGGACAGAGAATATCCTTTTTCAGATATCATGTGACAGATATGTGTGTAGATAAACTTTTAGAAAAGGACACTCATCAAGAAATCTCATTTGAAATCAAATATAAATTAATTATTCATAGTCTTTTCTTCATGTCTTTGTGTCAGTTTCCGGCTCCCCCCGCCACCATCACCACTGTTTCCCTCCCCTCAAGAGAATAGCTAGCTAATGCCTATATTACATAATCAGAATTCTGAAAACGTTAAAGTACACCAGGTTTTAAGTCGCCCCCCAGTTGATTGAAGCACGCATAAAGTACAAAGAAATAGAGATAGAACGGCATAGAATTTATAATAAGTGGAAATATATGCTGGAAAGAATAATTACATAAAGAAAAAGATGAGAACCTATTGGATGGATCTTGGTAATTACAAAGAGTGAATGCCTCTGCGCCATTTAAAACTATGTTGAACCATTTCACTGACAGTCTACAGTCATTGCTCCCTAACGTCCAAAAGGATACCGATAAGGCAGTTTATGCCCGCCTATGTAACTACCACAGATCAACTGTCGAAAACTTTATAAATCAATTTAATACATCATTAATACATATGCCCCACTTTCAAACACTCAGTTGTAGTTCTTCAGAGAACTAAATCTACTGAAGTTCAGGCAGGAAACCAATAAAACTACCTATGAAATAAAATAGGATTTTCAGCGCAGAACTTCGCACAAAATTGCACCAATTCAAGTTACCGCACTCCATATAAAACAAATAAAATACATATCAAGTATAATAAATGGAAATCTACGGAAGAAATAATAATTGTTGACAGTAGATGGTTGGAGGCAATCAGAAGAAAGCTCCGCTCTACCCAGGCTTCGTGCTAGTTGACACTCATCAGTCAGCAAGGCGTATCTACAACCTTGAAGAAACTCATGTCCCTTCTGAAATCCAAACCAGCCTCACCCACTGAGTACTGCAGTTAGAGACTTTTTTAATTCCTTCACGTTCCCAGTGGAACACAGGGCACAAAGCTAAAGGCTTGAAGTTTCTGCAGCAGTGGTGATTATTTTTACAGGATGTGGTTGCTAGCCTCATGCCCAACCTTCCCTCCTTACCAGTGCTATTGTTGTCTCAGCGAGGTAAAAGAGTGCATTGGTCAGGGGTCGAACCCCGAACCACCTGCTTAGTTGGCCAGCATTTTACCTATGTACCACTTACGCACAAAATCATTATAAGGGCGAGGCGCATGCATATAGCACACAGCCTTCTTTAAACCTTGCACACAACCATTAATTCGCGTACTATCCCATTGCCCTTGGCGGATTTGGTTACAAAAGTCACGAGAACACCATCAGAGCATATGACAGTTTAGGAACCCCGTCAGAGACGTTACCATTGAGACATTCGGGACCGCGATTGGTCTCCTGTACGACTGTATTGGATACTTTTGATTGGATACTAGTTAGTAACTAGCACGAAACACAGGTGGAGCGTGGCTTTCTGCCGATTGCCTCGAACCATCCTAATATCAACTATTTAAAATGTAACGTGATGGCGAACCACCTAGAATGGTGCCACATTGCAAACCTGACTGATAGAATTCAGTGTGCACCAAAGAAAGGACTAGACACACTACACACACTACTTAATAACTAGTATCCAGTCAAAAGAAATAATAATGAATGCTTGAAGAATAATGAGAATTTATCGGCTCCAGAAGATTATAAAAAGTGAATGCATCTGTACTAATAAGAAGAACTTTGAGCCGTATCACCAACAGTCTCAAAGACAATGATAATTAGCATCTCAAGGACCCTAGCCAGGCTGTAACAACAGAAGACAAGGACCAGGCAACAGATCGTTCGTTGAGAAAATCAACAGATATTTATAGATTTTTATGTACATTATTATTAGCATTATTGTTAGCTGAGAGGTAACGTCTTCTTATTGGTTGTTTTCCTGCTGAAGGTTGTTCTGTCATCTCTTTGTTGCCGTTTATTAGGCAGTCCGTTGATACATATCTGCGGTTCGTATCCGCCCACGCAAAGTCTTCTGTGATTGGTTGTTGAGTTCCTCAAGGTTAGTCTTTGTTTTTGCTTTTTCTCATGACGAATATTTTGGACGCAAACATTGACGTAAATTGCTGTCTACCAACTACGGCTAGCAGACAGCTCTCACCACAAGGCCAGTGTCACTCAAATCAACAGTCAAAGACTTCATCAGCTGGCTTACAACTGTACTACAGTCACCTTCAATTCAACAATAGCCTGAACAGGATGTAGACTCACCCTATTCAGGTAGTTCACATTGCATGAATTTTACTACGTAACTCATACGGGGTTAAGTTAACCAAAAGTTGCTATCCATATTTTCAAATGTCAGTAAAAAGGTTTCTTTTCTAAGTTTGAAGAATTATTTGAGAAAAATAAATATAACTGATTATGAACAAACTTACGTGCATATTGCTTTTGATAAATTACCACATTCGAAACGTGATTCAAACTTTAAGAATTTTGAATCAATTGAAGGATGTATTGGTTGCCCAGAGTTCCCATTGATTTTAGATGTTGTAAACTAAGCGCAAGACAGTGAAGAATAAATACATAATTGAATAGTGTACAAATATAACCCAAGGTTAGATTTACGGATTGATATCATTTAGACATGGAAATAAAAGCCTCCATCGCCAAAAATCCCTACTGTTCCTAAGAAAACTCTCTTCATGAACCAGGAAGGAATTCAAAGGCAACACTGAAGCAGAAATTCTTAGAAACCGCCTTTGTAAAATGTCTGAAGAAGACATTTCAAGCGGACATCTTCAACATCACACTTTTGGCCACCTCAGAGTGTATTTATCAATCTACTTGCTCGTGTGGAGCATAGTATATCGGTCGTAAGCAGTGTCAAGTTCACAAACGTATTCTGGAACATTGTCCAGCTTGGTTAGCTTGCCAGAGGAGAAGTGAAGAACAGCAGCAGCCCCATCCATGAACACCTTGTCAACTCTGGAAATCGAGCACCTCCGCACTAATGCTTCAAAGTGCTACACAAAGTCCCTTAATATTGTACAAAGGAACTTCGCATATGCCATCTGTACATAGCTAAATCATTGACTATTCGGGATCTGAAACTGGACCTCTGCATTCAAAAGCACAACATACATTCTCTTGCCCTACCATGGCCAGAGGGACGTTTTTTATTATAATTTTGCTTCTTTTTTATTTTTTAAAGCTTACTATTATTATCGTTATTAATATTATTATTTTATTATCATTGTTATTCCCATCATCCACATTTTATTACCACTCTATTACTGTTTATTGATAACTTTGAGTTTTCATACGGATTTTATATAAAGACATTTTATCGTCTTTGCACTAGTTCCTGTCCATTCTCCATGAGTTTATTGATTATTCATTATCTCAAACTTATTGCGTCACGCCAACTTCTGTCTCTTTTCTAACTTCCAATTACTCACCTCGTTTAGGTTACACACTTTTTGATGTGGTTGTATTCTCTGAGCTGGATGGTTAATTTGCGAAGCTTTCACCGCCTTACTAGGCGACATCTCCAGAGCATACTTCAATTCGAGGAAGTGAGCTTTTAGATCTCTCAACGAGTTTATTAGTCACCATCTCTCCTGGTGACCACCTTGAACGTGACTCTTTGGTTGTTTTTGTGTGTTTTCACACCCTCTAGGCTACTTGTATTGGAACTGATTGTTTCCTTGACTTGAAATTTGATCTTTTGTGTGTGAGATTTCCTTCTTATCAGTTGGTAAATTTTGTCTACCTCGATGTGTCTATTGATTGATGATTCACTGGAATACCAGGCTTCAAAAAATTCTCTAGCATTCTTGTTGTTCCCTCTGTCTAATATTTGAACGTTGTCCCAGTCGAATTGATGTCCGTGGTTGTCTGTATGTAGTGATATGAGGGAGTGAGTGTCATGTCTTTTGACGGCTGGCTTATGTTCGTGGATACGAAGACGAAGAGGAAGTCCACTTTGGCGAATTTAATGTTTTTTGCAGTTGTTACAATTTATTTCGTAGATGATGTTGGTTTTATCTTCTTTCGTTGTTGAATCTTTTCGTTGGCATTGAACTGAGTGAAGTGATTTTGTTGGTATGTGTGCGATTTCAATTCCTAAAGGCTTGAAGAGTCTCGCAGTGATTTCTGAGATGTCCCTTATATATGGTAGGGCAATTTTCTTTGTGCTTTCCTTGGAGGCCTTTGATTTGATAAGTTAGCTTGGTGGCACATGTCCTTTGATGAAATTCCGTGGATATCCATTCTTTTGAGAGACGTCCATGAGATATCTTTCTTCAGTTTTCCTTAAGGTGGGAGTGCTGCATTGAGTCCTGGCTGGCTCTCGAATAGTGTTTGTATGCAATTCCTTTTGTGTGTAATCGGATTGTTGCTGTTGCAATTCACTATTTGATATGTGTGAGTTGATTTTCTATAAACTTGAGTTTCTAATTCCCCATTGGCTGGATGAACCTACATTTCCATTTTCATAGTATTCCTATCAAAGTTCTAATCTAACACACATCACTTCAAGCATCAAACCCCTTTCACTTGGTTGCTGAAACTCAAGAACTACCTCTAATATGTAACGGGTACCACTTTCTATTTGTTAAAATTATTTCGAACCGCCAGCTAATTGATTTCTTGATATTAGATAGTTGGAGGCAATCGGCACGAGGAAGCCTTGCTTGACCTAGGTTTCGTGCTAGTTGGCACTCACCAGTCAGTCAGCAAGGCGTATCTGCAACCTTCAAGGAACTAATGTCCCTTCTGAGATTCGAACCCGCGTCACAATGGTGGCCACACTGCAAACCTGATAGAATTCAGTTTGCACCAAAGAAAGGACTAGACACGTCACACTAGTTACTGACTAGTGTCCAATCAAAATAATTGATTTCTTGACAAGAAAAGGTTGACGTGGCTCAACAAGGTGTGTGCTCGAGTCCCAGTAATGACATTAGACAGATGCAAATCCAGATGATGAGTCCTGAGTGTGACGAAAAATGCCACTTGGACTTCACTACTATCCATCACCAGTCATGTACCGTTGTGTGTGTGTTGAAATAACAGTAAGCATGGACCCAGATTGAGTATTTGCCTCAATTAAAAAATATTATTGAGGTAATAAAAAATTCTAACAAGTAGAATCTATTCATATTAATTTTCATTTTATCAAGACAAACTTCTTCTAGAAAATTGGAATGATAAAAAAAATATTTATAGTTCAATCAATCCATCATATTATGACTAAAAAGAATGAAATGTTGACAGACGGAATGAACTTACAAATTTTCCAACCATCGGTTCATATTGAAAGACAACTGTACTGTTGGTATCATCACTTGACACTGCTGGTTGATATTCTTTACCAGCTAAAATTTAAAGTAAAAATGGTTTAAGAGTGAAACAGTTTGTTTTGTTACAAGTATAAAACTTAGGCACTGTGGTTGAGCACAACATCCAAAACAAAACTAACCAAGCTATAAAATTCATTAGGAAGATAACAAAAGGCCAAAAACAAAATAAAAATAATTGTGGAACTTGTAATGATAACATAAATAAGAGAGAATATAAGTCACCCACTGTAACACCATATCAGGAGGGGACATCTGAGACCCTACGTAGGATTCTTAATAAAGCAGGAATTAGGGTGGCATTTAAACCTACAAACTCACTCAGGGACAAGCTCTGTAGGTTAAAGGACCCTGTTGACCCAATTAGACAAAATAATATAATTTACAAAATACCCTGCAATGACTGTGAAGTCAATTACATAGGTCAAACTAGTAGATCGGGGGTAGTCAGATTATCAGAACATAAGAATTTAGCCAAGGGAAGAATGGCTGACCCCACCCGCGAAGATAAGTAATTTAGAAAAAAGCTCAGCAATTGCACTTCACGCATTAACAAACAACCACACAATAGGGTGAGATAGGGTTAAAATTCTAAACAGTAATATAAGTAGGTGGAGAGAGAAGTTGATTACGGAATCCTTGTTCATTGAGTCTACACCCAACACATGCAACAGATAGGAGTTTGTTTTGTTCTTTTTTTTCATTTGAAAGACTCTTATTTATGCATTGGAATTATAGTTCAGGCTGAAACGAAGGAAAGTGATATACTGCAGAAGGTTGCAAATTGCAAATCTCTAAGTAACCGATCTTACTGAGTAGTTAATTACCTAAGAAACTGGGCTGCTTAAATCAAGTTATGATTACACTTGTATCTCATTTTCACTTTTCAGGTCTGATCACGAATGAACATGGCTAAGAGAATCACTGGAAACCAGGCAGTACAGAAAAGGTGTCTCCTCCTAGTTTCAGACTTTTCAACAGTTCAAACCTATGACTTTACCGAGGATGGATAGAAGCCAGAACTTGCAGACTACAAGACAAAGTCGTTGACTATTCAGTCACTGAGATGGAGTCCAATGAGCCATGGATTCCTGCTTCTGTCCATCGGTGATAAATGGCGCCACGACCAGCCTGTGTGGTTCATTCATGAACTATTATGGGATGAAGTTCCTGGACAGCGGGATCTTCCAATTGGGGTGCATCGACAGATACCCATGGAGGATATTAGTTACTGGTGGAGACAGGTATCGTGAGTTGAAAGAAGTAACGATTCATGATGATGCATCGGTGGTTCAGCGGTAAAATATTCGCAAATAAACCACGTGGCCACGGGTTCGATCCTAGGCAGACGCACCTCAGTTGGTATTAAACTTGGTAAAGAGGGAAGGTTCATCTTGAAAATATTAGCCCTATTGCGTAAGTAAAAATAAACACCATTGCGACTGAAGCCTAAAATCTCATTCAGAACGCAAAGGAATAAAAATACTTCATAAGCCATCGAATCCCCTCCCCATGACTGAATAGCGAACGGGGCAACCTCGCAATCTAAAGTCCCTGGACTTGATCTTTGGTGGATTAATGACTGCAAGCAGATGACGGCTACCAAAGTAAGATGAAACAGCTGTCCAGTGCTACATAGCTTTCAGTTTTAGATACAACTTCAGCCACTGCTTCTTAGAGTCACAAAAACACAAGACAGAATGTTTGTACCTCCCTATTTGACTAAAACCAACACTATAGGTGCCTTACTAATACAGAAAGCAGCTGAAATGGACAGAATATATAAATTATAATCAGCCCTCAGTTTTAAACAGAAAATAAGCAATTCATGAGAACGAGTTATTAAGAAGAAACGCCGCACTGTCATGAATTATTGTTGTAGTTGTTTAAACTGACAACGAGAACAGGAATCAAAAGTGGAAAATTACAGAATTTAAATGATAATTTAGTCGCAAAAGAAAGTAAACCAAAGGCTTAAGAAATATCAAGGCATAGAGGTCACAATAATCTCTGAATTATCCCACAAATTAGGTCAAAAGTAATAGACGCTTGACTGCTACTAGGTAGATTTTCCCTGACCCGAATCGGAAATTTCAAGAAGACTAAGACACATAAGGGGCTTTGACAGGACGTCTCCATTTCATCCGATTTCCTGTAGTCAACTGTAGCTGCCTCTGCGATTGCCCATAAGCGTTCACCTCCTCCCCACACTGCCTCCTTAATGTCAGTCTCAGAAACACGCCCAAATCGTCGGCTGCGACTCGGCGTGATACCCCTCAGCGGTCTCCTCCATCTGCATTTCATTCTGCATATTTGCTTGGTGATAAGTTCCTGGATGGTTTTCTGTCCGCTAGAGTTCCTCACTGTTTATCCTTTCTGCTTGTCCGATATCCAGTATTGCCAGACCAATGGCATCCCCTTTGATGAAACCCTAGAACCTGATGCAAATGCTTTCGGTGAATCTCTCTCTTTCTCTAGGCTTGTTAACTACATAGAATCACTGGGAGGACATTAGTGTTTGAAAATTTTGATCTTGTTCCTCATGATGAGTGCAGTGGAATTCTATACAGATTGGTGCAGCCTGTAGCCGAGACGATGCTGCCTAGCCAGGTGAGTGCAGTAGGTTACTTCTTTTAGAAATTTCTTCTAGCTGATTTTGATTGGTGCTTGTAGTATCTTCAATATCTCTCTGTCTTTTTTGTGTTTACTTGAAGTCCTATCTTCTCGCTTTCTCCTTTCAACTTATTGGTTTTTGCCTACTGATGTTTTCTAGTTTGTATGACAATAGGCATTATCATCATCATCATCATCATCATCATCTGCAAATTCCAGATCTACAGTCTTCTCATCGGTATTCTTGATCTACTGATTTGAAATACAGTAGTAGTATAATAACCTAAATTATTTTTTTGTAAATATACATATATACGGTTAGATAATCAGGCGAAAAGCAACAGACTGGCTGAGGAAGCAGTGAATACAGGACTGCAGGTTAACATAGGGAAGACGGAGGTGATGAAGATAACGAACGAATGGCACTAACAATAGCAATGACCAGCACCAATCACAATCGGCTGGGGAGATTTAACAGAAGTGACCCCCTTCACTTATCCAGCCAGGAAGCATCGCTTCAACTACAGGCACTCGGAACGGATGAAGATGTCAAAGTCAGCTAGTCAGCCAAAATCAGAAAGGTGAGATATGCCTTCATCAACATGAAACCAAATTGGAAATGTTCTGCTGTCACTCAGTCAGCCAACATAAAGAACAAGATTCGGATTTTCAACACAAATGTGAAGTCAGCCAGTTAATGTTTCTATACAGGTCAGAAACTTGCACTGCATGTGAGTCACGAAAAGGATTTCCAACAGCTAGGAGCAGACTTTTATCAGCCCCCACTTCTCTTTTTTTTCTTTCTACATGACTTACCATCTTCAAATGACATTAATTTTCTCAAATATGCTGACGACCTGACAGTATCTTTGCCTGTCAAATGTCAAAATGACTGCTCTAAACTTAATGGCTTTCTGTCAGAAATCAGCCAGTGGTCCAAGGAAAACGGTCTTACTTTAAACCCCTCCAAATGCCAAATAGTCAATTTCACCTTTAGGCATAAATCCGACCTAAACAAACTGGTTGGCTCTCACGAGGTGTGCAACATAGATGGCACTGAAATAGAAACCAAGTCGGAAATTAAATACCTAGGTGTCATTCTATCTGCTGATCTCTCCTGGTCGTCTCATATCTTAGCAATTTCTAAGAAAATATTCCGTCTTACCTTCTACATCAAGAAGTTAAAACATTCTGGTATAATCCAACCCTTACTCCTACAATTCGCTAATTCTCGCATTCTGCCTATTATTCTCTATTGTTCCCCCTTAGTTTTTCCCGGGCTACTGAAGAAAGACTATAACACATTACGCAGGATGTTAAAGGTTGTCAGCAGGGTAAGCAGCGTGCCACTTAACCAGCTTGTTAATATCCTGGTTGACAGGCACATGGACTCATGTGAAAAATGGGCCAAATCCATTTTATCTAACTCACACCACCCTCTTCACTCACAACTCTCCCCTTGTATCTCATCAGGCAGGACCAGAAACCTATATAGAAAACTATATGCTCGCACTAGCAAGTACAAAAACCCAGCCATACCCTACTTAGTTCGTGTTCTGTGCGATAAAGAAAGCATAAGGCGTGATACCTATAACTTATTAAATAGTCAGTAGTACAACTGGACCTCGTCTTTCCAACTCATATCATTTATAGGTACAATGTTTTCTTTCTTTTCCTTTTCTCTCTCTCTTTTTCTGTTATGTGCTGCTTTGTTTCTTTCTCTCGCTTACGCCAGTAAATATGATAGCACCCACTTTTCTAATACCTTCAAACACTGTTTAGCTTAACGTTCGCTACCGACATGCCAATGTATTGTTGTAATAATGAACTAAGATCTCCTTAATCTATGTAGAATTCTATTTATTGATAGTGTACTAACTGGATGCAATATTGTAGTAAAAATGCTGAGAATTCAATTCTGTATCACAAGTACTGTTTTGGAATAAAGCAAATTATCATTATTATTATTCTCTGGTTTCATACTGAGGATCAAATTACCAGCCAGCCCGCCAAAGAGAATTAGCAACAAGAAACTCTGCAGTGGAACCAACCAACAGGCGAGAGCCGATTGCTAAACAAATATGTAGGAAAAAATGGAGATGGATTGATCGGACTTACATTGAGGAGGCCGTTGAATGACATGGCGCACCGAGTGGGTGGTCGGTAAGAGGTTGACATGGAGGAGATCGTGTGGGAAATTACAGGCGACGGTAGGCCAGGCCAGATGAAGAGGAAGGCAGACAATAGAACAAAGTGGAGATGTGTTGCTGAAGCCCTAGTTCCACTCGGAACCCAAGGGAATAATAATAATAATAATGAGATTTCTAAGTCCGTTTCTTAATTAATGTATTTTATGTACTACTTTTTAGAACTGTTCAGAAATTGATCAAAATATATCTTTTTCC